CTGTGCGTGAACAGCGAGGCGAGCTCGAGGTTTCGGGTGGAGGCGAGCCGAGCAACTCATACTTACCTGGCAGGGGAGATACCATGATCACGAAGGTGGTTTTCCCAGGGCGAGGCTTATCCATTGCACTCCGGATGTGCTGACCCCTGCGATTTCCCCAAATGTGGGAAACTCGACTGCATAATTTGTGGTAGTGGGGGACTGCGTTCGCGCTCTCCCCTGATCTTGGTGTTTAAAAAAAGACTTCGGCTTGCATCGTTGTTTGGAGGATTGAAGGGAGCTTTATCCCAAATGGTTTGCACCTGCTTACGCTGCTTGTTTTCGGTGGGAACCCATCAGTGTTTTTTACACTGCCGGAAAAAACCTCTTTGCTCAAAAGCACGGGTATTTTTTTTTTCTCGTCTCACTGTGCTGTTTTGTTTTTTGTTTTTTAATCTTACAAGCTTGTCGGAAACTGCCGGCTTCCAGTCTGTTTGGGGCGCGGTGCTGCGCTTACTCACTTTATGCTATTGAGAGGTAGAATTCTCTTACATGGCTTAAGCCTTCGCCGTTCCGGTGAAGATACAACACACTTGTCCTGTGTAGAGAAATAGCTTCGCTTTGGTAGACCTCAGTCTTGGTAGAATTCTCTGATCTTCCCAGGAGCATAATAAGGAATCCTGTGAGGAGCCATGACCAGTTTCTCCCTGCGTTTACTCACCTTATGCTATTGAGAGGTAGAATCCTCTTACATGGCTTAAGCCTTCGCCGTTCCGGTGAAGATACAACACACTTGTCCTGTGTAGAGAAATAGCTTCGCTTTGGTAGACCTCAGTCTTGGTAGAATTCTCTGATCTTCCCAGGAGCATAATAAGGAATCCTGTGAGGAGCCATGACCAGTTTCTCATTTGCGTACCTCGTGGGAGGCTGCGACTGGGTAGAGTTCCTCTCCTGCCCTTTGTCTAATCTTTCCTCATGCTTCATTTCTTGTCACCAGGCACTTGATGTCTTGCTTCCACATCTTACAACCATGCTATCCAATTCTCTAGACACCAGCCCACCCATCCTTCCCTCCCACCCCAAAACAACCTCTTTATGTTTCCGGCTACAGTCTCCTCTCCTCACCTCTTCTCCCAGGCCTTCTCTTTTTCCTTCTTAGGCAGAAAACACTGGCGCTGTCTCTCAGCCTCCAATCTGCATTCAGATGACGTGCATCAGTAGCTTGGCAAAATCAGGAAGCTTCCTTACACTCCCTTCTTAAATGGCAGTAGTAATTTTAAGTAACACATTTCACTATCAGAAATAACTTTAGTGTTTTCCTATCTGAAGGTGCCAGAATATTGGACTACAGTTTAGGAGAAAACCCCGGCTCAGTGTTGGTGTTGGTGGGCATTTTGCCAACACTGTTCCCGGGATGTGTTCTTCACTCTCACTTGCGATCCACAATGTCCTGGCAAATAGAAACTACTGACCCAACAGAAAAGGCAGGACCACTGCCGGAGGAACCATCGCGCCCCCTCGTGGCTACCTCGGAGATGACACCCACAGGTCGAGGTCAGCCTCAGAAGCAGCTGAGAGATCCAGGCGGGTCTGGGAAGGGCGCGCGGATGCGGAAGCGGTGGCACACTAGGGTAAGTCCAAAGAAAACCAACTGAAACGCAAAAGATGCCGATCGAGTATTCAGGACATTGAGAGTAGAAGTCGGTACGTCCAACGGGCTGATCCAGTTTGATGGAGAGCCGGGAACTTCTCCCCAGCAGCGGGAGGTTTCCTTGCTCAAATGTAAAAATATTCAAACCTAGAGAAGTCGACATTCAATGCCTTATTGATGAGAAAACTTGGGGTTTTAGAATTTTTAAGGATTTCCTTAGTCCTAGGGCTGTCAGCAGTATTATGTTTCGGATCCCTGACAGAGGAGCTTCAGACCAAAAGGAGCAGACCCTCACGGGCCAGGAACTGGTTGGATATTGGTTCCCAGGCCTGAGACAAACCGAGGTTATTACAAAGACATTAGGTTTAGTTTCTGGTTAGGACAACCTCTGGGAGGCCTCCCCTCCAGTCCTGGTTCCACCACTTGCCTTCTGTTTGACCTTGGGCCAGGTCCTTCGATTTGTTGGGCTTCAGTTTTTCAAGCGTCATAAAAATAACAATATTAAGTACCTCCTACAGTTGCATAGGTTAAATGATGTAATCTAACAATACACGTAGCATGGTGTATGGTTTATGTTAAGTATGTGCTGATGGAAAACTAACCAAAATAAACTTTCCCCCTTAATTATTGTTAACCTGAGAATAAGGAACAAGGCATTCAGGCAGTTCTTCTGTTTACATTATGAAACAATTCAAGTCTCCATCAAGATATGGATGGATATATTGTGATATCTTCAATCAATGGAGTACTGCTCTGTAATAAAATGTAACAAATTCCTGAAACACAGCAACAACATGGATGAACCTCAAAATCATCATGTTGAGCGATATGAAGAGAACATACTGAGTGTGTCCGTTGTGTTAATTTTTAGAACAGGCAAAACTAATCCATAGTGACAGAAACTAGATGATTGACTACCTGGGACAGGGAGTGGTGGTGGTGGTGGTGGGGTTGATTGCCAAGGGGCACGAGAGGATATTTTGCAGTAACAGAAATGTTCTTGAACAAGGTACTGGTTACACGGGTATATCTATTTGTCAAAAGTCATCAAATGAAGTGGATGCATCATATTACTTACAAATTACACCTTAACAAATTTGATGTAAAAAAAAAAAGAAAAATTATTCCAAATTTTGATGTCTTTAACTTAATTAAATTATAATTGTTTTTTTTTTTAGCCTAGAAGTTTATTTCAGAAAAGTATGTTCTTGTGGAAATCAATTTGATTGGAAGTTGAGCAATTCCTTCATTTTTAAAATGTCTTCTTCCTGTTAAATTCAGGTACTATTAAATCATAGAATATTAAAATAGAATATTAAGAGTTTGATTTTATAAAAGCATAATTATGTATATTTTTTTCTGTAGATATACCAAAAATGACTCCATCAATTTTTACCTAATGTTAAAAGTTATTTTTGAATTTAAGATTTCAAAGATTTGCATATTTATACTTCTGCATCATTTGACTTTTGTATATAAGCATGTGTAATTTTTGTAAACAAGTTACAATATCTTTAAAAATAGATTGAAAGAAAAACATGTAAAAATATTAACAGTAGTTAATTCCAGGTGGTGGGAATATGGATAGCTACTTATCTTCTTTATGTATTTTTCATATTTTTAAAATTAAAAAATGAATAACCTGGAAGTGAAAGAACAGAATAAATAAAGGTGTGGGGGCAGGTGAGAGGAAAACACTAAGCAGAAGAAAAACCTTGTTCTGGCAGGAATTGGGTTTAAGTTGAATATTTTGGAGGAGCAGCTATTGGGATAAGAAGGATGTTTGGGAAGCAGGATAGTTTTATTCCTGTTACATAATTTCTCCTTTGGTGTTTTTTTCAAAAGAAATATACAAACTTAAATTTCTTGTCAAGCATTTGTTACCATTTGTTTCTCTTCTATTAGGATTAGTATAAATTGAGTATATCCTGTGGAGCCAGTCTGCCTTCATTCAAATTCCTGCTTTTACATCCCACTCACTGACTGAGTGACTGGACAGATTACTTAATCTTTATGTGTCTCAGTTTCCTCATATGTAAAATGAGGATTATGATATGATATAGGCCTGTTGGGAGGGTTAAATGAGTAAACATATGTAACATTTGTAGACTATGCCTGGCACATGGAACTTTGCATATGTGTAATCATTGATGTTAGTTCTTGTATTTTGGGTACAGTACTACATAAAGACTGGATGTGACTGATTTTATTTGTTACATCAGTGACACTTTTCAGTGACCCTCTTGGGGAGGGTGAAGTAACTCTCGCTGACCAGCAGTAATCTCCTGGGCTGAGAGGATCTGGAAGTTTATTAGCTCATCTGTTTCGCTCATTAAAAAGGGAATAATGATCCAATTCCTTACTTCGAAACTGCCCCAATAAAAATAAAAATTATAGTTTTACAGTGAAAGACGTTTCTACACATGACACAGAACCCTGAATCTTTAGTATATACATATGACTACATACAAATTTAAATTCAAAATACGAATGATGAACTTTAGAAAGATCATAAATATTAAGAAATTACTTTTTATTTAGTATAAATTTATCAAAGTTACATATGCTCCCAAGCTTTTGTGTGTTTTTCTACCCGCCAGTCACCTTCAAGGAAGCCGACGAGGCGCCAGACTTGGCTTCCACTCACTTGCAAGCCACTTCATCCCTCCCAAAGAACCGGGAAAGGAAACTTCGCAAGAACCAACGCCCGACCAGCAGTTTCGCGGTTTCTGAGATTGCGTTCTAGGGCGGAGCAGTAACGGGTGGGAGCTCTCAGAGTGAGGATCTGCGGCCGCCCAAACCCAGCGACTGGCTCCTCTTCCCTCCACTCCCTACTTCCTCCCGTCCTGTCATTCTCTGCTCTTCCCCACCTCTCCCTTCTCCGCTATTTTCTCCCGCCGCACACCTGTTTTCACGTCCGCCAAGGGGGACCCCAAAAGACAGCTGTGGTTTTCAGTCCTTTGTAACCGCCGAAAGCTTCATAATGTCAAAATCAAAGAGACGCCCCTTAGCACCTGGAGGCGAACTTAGTCACTAGCTGTGAGGTCCTTCAGAATTCACGACCAAGATTTTTGCCGAGCGGAGGAGAAAGGACGTGCGTCCACCTGGTCCGGTCGTCCTCCCGGTGGAGCGGAGGGGCGCCGCGGGTCCGGGACCCGGAGCTGCTCAGCTC